CTCTCACAGGCATTGCAAATGGAAGTCTCCCCTTTTCTCTTACCCTTCTCTCTTCCCCTCCCTGCCACTTAAAACTCTTGTGGAGATTGTTTTTATATAATGGCATCTCCAGGGAAAAGATGTCGGAAGATAATGGGAATATTTGGCAAAGTTACAAACTATGATATATACTGAGGCTCTCGAGGGGATTCAGTGTGCAGCACTTTGAGAGGAGTGCGATAAACGCAGCACTCGTGAGTCAAGTGGGAAGGCAGACTTGTTTTTCTCGCTTATTGGTAAAATGAAATCCTCAGCCAGAACCTTCATTATAAGGTGGGAAAGATGCTGGGAGCCTGAGGATCTGCGGCCCAGACAAGCTCCCAAAGGCCGGTATCTAATGAACCCTTTGCGTGAGGCAGAGGTTAAAGCTGATGATAGTCCGTGCAGCAGCCAAGGGGGAGCTTGGTGGAGCCCTGGCAGCTCGCGGCATCCGCGGCTCCGCGCAGGGCCTGGGCATCCAGCTCTGTGCACTGAGCGCAGCGCCCGGGTTGAGCGGCTCCGGGCTCTGCAGAGACCTCCGTGCTTTCCTACGTGCCAGGCTGGGTCCAAGGCCCCAGCACAGCCTCAAAGTCAGCGACAGCCAGGATGCAATGCTGCTCCCACAGGCATCGGTGCCCTTGGAGAAGGGAGCCAAGGTGTTCCCACCGGAGACATCTGCAGAAGGTGGACAGGCCTGATGCAGGAGAAGCAGTTGGAGAGACCCCAGAGCACATGTACTGGTCCCTTGGCTGGTTTGCTTTTGCTTCAGTCAGAGAGCACATTTTAGTCATTTTAGTCTCATGCTGCTTCTGATTTATCACTGCCCAGTGCGACTAGAAAAAAAAAATCGGATTTCAAGTACAAAGAAGAAATAAAGTTTTATTAAAAAACAGCATGAGAAACAGGCAAGGTCTGTAATTAAGTAAACTGCAGGTGAGTAAAAAGTATTTTTCTTTAAAGGAATTACTCCCTGTCCTCCCATCTCCCCCTCCCCCCAAAAAAACAGAAGGGAAACGATACGCCAGATTTTAATCGTCTTCTAAAACTAGATTTTTAGGATTAAATGACGGTCTCAGATACACACAGCACTGACACCAGAAAGGAGTGTTTATTGCTAGGTAAGAGAAACAATTGCAATATTTGCTCTAACTCTCTCACTTTGCAGGAAAGTAACCGCAGAATTCAGTCTGGGAATGAAGCACAGCGGAAAAGGCAAGATGCCAGAATGAGCTGATTGCAAGGTTTGCTATTTTGTTACTGCACAGAACAAGTTTACTGTGGTTTACCCTGGATGCTAACACAGATCCTCTGCTCGGACAGACAAACTGCAAATAGAGTTGCTTGAGTTGATTTTCCATATGAATGCTTATTTTAATGGGAAGTTCAATTTCCTTCTGATAAAATAAGAATCATTGACACTGGGAAAATCAAAATGAAATGAGCAGTTTCAACCACGTTGACCTAACTGGAGCTGACCTCAAATGTTTTATTTCAGATCATTTCTTTGGAAGATTACATTAGTTTCTCTGCAGTGAGCTTATGGCTAAATGTTGGCTGTAGTTTTAAGTTTTCTTCCATGTATTGAGTTTTCCAGAGAAATCCAGCAGCATCTTTATCAACATGTTGACAAAGACTCTAACAAGCCAAAATAAAACTATTTGTTTTGGTTGACAAGTAAACATTTAATCTCCCTTTAAAAATAATTTTAGGACAAAAACGTGAGTTGCAATATTACAATCTCTGGAGCTTGCTCAGGCTGTGGTGAAAGTTTGCTCTTATCTCCTCCTGGTTTAAGTTGGTGTGATTCAGACTGTACTAACAAATCATGGCTCTGCAGCCCAGGAACCACTAGCATGCACAGCAACCTTTGAAAATGTGATGGTTTTGATGCCCAATGGTTCTGATGCCCAGTGCTTTGTGAGTGAAGTGCTGGAACTTGGGCACCAATCCTTCAGCAAATATTGCAAAAACCATCTTTCACATTTTCAGGTTATAGATGTAAGCCAAAGCATCTCTCTGGCATATAACCTACTGAAGTGATGAACACCATAAACCTGAGTACTGTGTTGCAAAAGCAGCCTCCAGTGCACAGGTTGCCCTTCTACAATTAAATATATTCAGATCTTCTTTAATTGCTTCTGTAGAATCTAGCAGGTAGCTCAGAGGTTTATGTGTGTGGCAAAAGAATTTCCAGGCTTATTTGTGACTTTGTTGGTTGAAAAAGCATGTTATTATTTCTGAGAGAATGATATAATCAGTGACACATGAAATCACAGTGTTCCTGCCTAAAGGAGCAAAGAAAATGCTCAGGACAGTGGATTCTCAAGGGGAAGTTGCAAGGGGAAGGCAGTTTGACAGAAAGCCCTGCTCTTGATGTCACCTCCACATTCTGCCACAGGCTTCTGAAATCCGTGCTGCACATCACTCTGGACAAGAGTTTTGTAATTATTCAGGTAGCCAGTTCTAACTGGAAACTAGTTTGGCACCCGCATCATTTTTCCTCGCAGTTTATTCGCACCGTGTTGCTAGTGATGATCTTCTGATGCTCTTCCTCTCTGAAAGCCGCTGAGATGTGCTGTGTGGTTGCTGTGCTGCTGAGGATAGTGCAGAGCAGGAGTCAGGGTGCAAGAAATGGATTTTAAGATGAAATTTGCAACAGAGCAAATCTGACTTGCTAGCAGTGTTGAGGGCCACACAGTGGTCAAGATGTACGTTGAGAAATACAGAAGTGTCTTCTACAAAGAGAAGGAATTAGGGCAGATGATGTGCGGTGGCAAGAAACATAGGGCCAACGAACACAGAGAAGGGGTCAAACTCCTGTCTTTCAATGTCATGGTAGTCTGTGACCTTCTTTTGGCTCAGGCAACTCTACAACTTTCCAGGTTCAACCTGAATTTGAGGAGTGAAAGTGCAAATTTACCAGAGGTGATGGACAAGAGGTCAGTTGGGTTTAGTTGGTGATGCCGAGGACTCTCAGACACTGCTCTTCCTGTCATACGGCTTGCTGAGCTGCGGGTTAAGTTTCTCAGCATCAGCACAGCATCCCACAGACCATGGATTTCACTGTACCTACCACCAAGGTGCCTGGAAAAATCAGATGGAATACCCGTTTGAAGCCTTGGTCCATCCAAATGCGCATCAGGTCACCTTTACTTAGTGATAGTTTTGGGAAAACTGATTTACATCATCAATTTAAAATATTCAGAAGTTTTTATAGCACTGAGAGAGTGCTATAAGTGAAGTGTCAAGTTTGTGTCAACCCCGGATCCTGTAATTTCTGCCTCTCTCTCCCTCTCTCTCTCTCACACACACACATACACACATTAACAAAATAAGAGCCAGATATAAGAAACTTAGTGCTGTCTTATTGCTGAGTGCCATTAAAATAATTTTCTAAAATTATTTCTAAAAGATAAATTTAAAAAATCCCATAAAAAAGATAAGTGAAGAAATCCTAAATGCAATCAGCCATTCAATGTTTGCCCTTTAGCAAAGTTCAAAATTGATACACAAGCTTTAATTTTCTTTCATCATCAGTTTCTCCTCTTTCTTGGGAGAAGAAAGAAAAAGACTTTCTTGGGAAAAAGAAATAAAAAGGAAAATACTGACTTTCTTGGGAAGTCAGTATGGCAACTTTTAGAACTGAGCTGGAGGTCAACTCATTTATGTTTTGACTGTCAGACCTTATGAGAAAATATTGTTTGAAAGTTGATCAAGCTGAAGGCTGTATGAAATGAACCTTTTGGAACTTTCATGCGTATATAAGTATTTGTAAAACATTGACATGGCAGTAAGGGCTGTGCTTCTCACATCACCAATTTTCTTGTTACTTTGTGAAACTGCTCCACATGGCCACAGCTGCAGGAGAAGATGGTGGTGAGAAACCCGGGTCAGTAACATGCCCCATTGCTGTGTGTTTTCCAGTCTATCCGGAGGGGCTGGGCCTGGTTTCATCTTGTAGCCGTGGAAGACTGTGAGACTCTGTGTCTTTTTTTGGGAATTGTTAGGAATTTGGTGACCCATAAATGAAACTAGGGCCTGAATCTCCTACTGTCTACTAGTCTGACACAAATTGTTACTAACCTCACTAACCTTCTGTCCTCTTCCCTTTCCAGCAATCTTGACACAGAAGAGCTCTGTGGTAAGTTCCTTTTTGGACAAGAACATAAACTGCCTGCAATAGCCCTAGGCAAGCGATCATAACATGTAATAAGATTTTTTTCTGTTTAACTTGCATGATTGAAAGAAAAAAAATGAATTTACCTTGAAAGAACTCCTGGGAGAATGCAGATTCAGGCTCATAATCTTTCTGATTCTGATATAGAAATTACTGTGAAAATAGTTTCCTCTATTACATGTTCCTCATTGTTTGAGATTTAAGATCCATCTGTCTTTTCTCTGATATGACGAAGAGATCAATGCTTTTCTTTTATCTTATTTCACCTTTGTGCAAAATATTCTTTTTTAGCTAGTGCATTACTTTCAAAGGTATTGTATTTTGGCAATTTGAAAAAAAAAAAGGATTGTTATATTAGTATTTCACTGGCATACATTATTTCTTCCAACTTGTTCAGTAAGAACAGCAATTTGACAAGTTCTCTTGTCTTTCATCAAGAAAAACTCCTCATAGGCCTAGAAATTGCCCAGTGACCTGTTTCTGTGCCCCATTCTAGGCACTGCTTTCCTGAAATCCTTTTTTTTTGCTCTCTAGCTGATTTTATAGCACCTAATTTAGGAGTGCTGCACGCAATGGAAAATAATTTACAGAAATTCTCAGAATTTACAGAAAAGAATTTACAGAAATTTTGGGGAGCAAGTGCTCCCCAAAAAGGACAAAAATCAGTTATACTTGTCAAAGACAGCCTATTTCCTGGGAGAAGATGTCAGCAAATAATGGCCTGTTGAATTTTCCAAGGTTCAGCACTGTGGAAAACTTTTAAAATCTCAAAACACCCTCGATGTGAATGCCAAGTCATTTACTTGTTCACAAGGCGACTCTATCCACAGCCAGGAACCCATGGAAGCATCTCCGTGTGTGCCTTAGAAATACATGATGATGCTGCTGACATTAACTTCGAGGATAACAGTGATGACTTTGACTAGCCCAGAGAGGTTTTGTCACACAGTGATTTACAGCTCCTGGCGTGTGTTTTACACCAGGGCTGATGTGTCTCCCTGGCACCCGCTCCGCAATGCGAGCAGAGCAAGCAGACCCAAGCGCACCAAAGACACAACGCGGGGTCTCAATCTGACATCTACATTTTTTTCCCGTCTCTTTCAATGAAGCAGGGCAGGTTTTGGCAGGTTTATGGGCAGGTTTAGCAGTTCTCATGATACCCGAGCTCTCCAACTTCCTTGTAAATCTTTCATTAGTTGCTGCTAGGGTGTTCCTTTTTTCTCAATCTGGTACCAAATCCATGTGAGGCAGTTGCCCTGAAGACCAGAACACATGCATTTTATCTAGTGGTTTTTAGAGTTCTTTCCTATTTATTTCCATTCGTTCCAGTAAAATGAAGCCTCATTTCCAGGTTATTAATTCATAACACATTTTGTTTCTAAAACATTTTAATCAAGATCTGAAGAATATCAGGTTTTGCAACCAATGGCCCTGAAATCTTGTGCTTTCATGGTTCCCCTGGGAAGCTTGCTCTGATCGCTTAAAAGCCTCAAAGTATTGCTATTTATTATCTCAGAAGGCTCTGTTCTGCCTGCCATTTAGATGGGTTTTTTTTCACATTCTTCTAGATAATCTGATTTCTAAATGCCTTTTCTAACACAGTTTCTCGCTTTAACACTGTTTTCTGTCTTATTTAACCCTTTGCATCCCTGTGCTTCACTGTTGTGTTGCACTCCCTGGGCTCCATATTCCCAAACCTACTTTTCCGTGGTGACTTCCCGCACTTGCCTCCTCCGCTAACCGTGACGTGTGACGTGGCTGCTACCGTCACTCGTTTGTCCCCTGCTTCCTTGAGTCCCTCTCTGCAGCCGGAATGGAGCCCTCTGGTCCCTCTGGTTGATGCGGACCTTGGCATAGGCAGGTAGTTTGTCCCCTGCTTCCTTGAGTCCCTCTGCAGCTGGAATGGAGCCCTCTGGTTGATGTGGACCTTGGCATACACAGGTAGTGATTACAAGGCTGTCATATCAGAAAGAGAAATGACTGTAAAGGAAAAATAGGTGGATCATTTTAGCACTACTTTGTCAATGGTGCCTGCTTTATCTGACAGTCTCTGAGATGCATCTACAGCTACTCATCCTTCTCAGTCTTATGCAGCTCTGCTTCATCTCTGAGCTGCCTTCATAATGTGAAACCTCCCAAAACACCTCATTGATTCCAGCCCATTCCAGCCTTTTTCCTCTGACTGCAGGTCAGGTTTTGCTAACTTAATATCTACTGTGTTTACAAATAGTGTTGCTCTTCTCTTCTGATTATTATATTCCCTGTACTATTATATTTCTCTTTGTGCAGTATTAACTTTCTGACAATGTGTATCTTTGGTCTTGTCTATGTGATCCACTCCATTGGCATCTATCAGTTATACTTTACATTTATTTTCCTTTTTTTAACAATTTGCAGTATTTACATAGCGGGATCCCTAAAATCTGCTGATTCAATAGCAATTGTACTTGCCTTTTTGCTATTCTAGTCAGACACAACTATAAGTAAGATTTGAGTTAATACAATTTTCACACAAAGACTTAATTCATTTTTATTCTTGACCTACTTCAAGGCCTTCGACCTTGACATCAGCTCTTTCTGATCTATGTCCTTTATTTAAGTCATACCTATCTATCAGTGTACATGCCACATGCTGAACTGGCCAGCTCACGGTGCCTCTCACTTCTTAGAGGCCCTGGGAGAAACAACTGGTCTCAACATCTACTCTTTGGTAGAGTTACTCGTAAATATTATTAGATTTATCACATAGTCATGAAAAAATTAAATTGATATTTAATAAAATATAACTTTGATGGTCATAAACAGGTGAATTGGGTTTTCTCCTTCTTTTAGACTATTTTTGCCAGCACTAGGAGAGTATGGAAATGTTCTGTCTATCTTGGAAGACTTACTTAAATATCACCGTACTGAAGGCAATGGAGAAAACAAAGAAAGAAAGTAAAAGTTGTGGGGTTTTCTTTACATGTTATTTTGTTAATTTGAACATGCATCTGGTATCTTTTTACTTAGACGTAGCTGACACAGACCTAGTTGCTAAATCATTTTTAAATTCTTCCACGTATATATATGGCTGGGTAGAAAAGAGCACAGGAGGAAAAGACTTGTCAAAATGGCAAGCAGCACCACGGCAAAGCTCTGCCTGCAAAGTATCACAGTTTGGAGATGGTCAAAGCTGCCTTTGTGAAGGGTCAGGAGGATGTTCTTCATATTGCAGTGGCCCAGAAAGGCCTCCATGTCCCCCTCTGAATGCACGTGGGTATTATCAACACCTAAAATAACAGTCCAAAGTTGAAAAAATAACTCCAAAGGTTTGAAGTAGTAAACATGATAGTAGAAAGCTGTGTAAATGACTTCAACTACAGTCAGTAATATTGCCTGCCATTAGATTAGGTCAGTAGGAGTCCTTTGGAAACATATTAGGGAATCACATTTATGTTACTGCTAAATGTAGATTCCGGGAAATTCTTAAAAGATTAAAAAGGACCGTCTACCCCCATATTCCCTGCAACCTACCAAATCCCAGCACTCTCATGGATGCAAAATGTTCCTGGCTGTGTAACTGTTGGGGAGTTTGTCCCTAATAACTCCATAAATACATTATGTATGTAAAATATCTCTGACAATAACAGCACGCTATCACTGAAAGGCAAACCATAAACACTGGCATTCTTTGATTCAGTCCTGAAAATAAACTTGAACCAGAACTATTTCGTAAGATCCTATGGAGACAATAAAACCCGTGTTCATCAGGCAGGCAGTGATCAATAGGGAGAAAACTGCTCTTCTGCAGTGCAGTTGCTGTCTCTGGCATTCAGGCATTCGCAGAAGTACAGCACCCATACATTTTTCATGAAATGACAGAATAAAATGCTGACAGGGTGTCTGTCCTATTTATTCAGAACTCGAGCCAGCAAGTTGCCCATCGCTCCGTTCCATTCCGCCCCTTCCATTCCCGAGGACGGGAGCGTGGGCTGGGAGCGAGGGCCAGCTCACTGCCCATGGCCTGGCCTCCGAATGGGGGCAGAGTCATTTATTCTCCCTGCACCTTACTCAAAAACCATCCACTGTTGATTAGCAGCATGTATAGAGCACAGCATGAATAGCTACAGCTAACGGGCAGAGCAGGTCGTCTGATACCTGCTGTGTAAACACAGCGAGGGATCTAAGAACAACTTCAGAAGTTAATTAGAGAGGACGAGTCTCAGTCCTTAACAAGAACTAAGGACTGAACTGACTACTCAGTGAGTAAGAAAATCTGGAATATCTGATAAGTTGAATTTGTCTACTTGAGGTTCCAATCTAAATAAAAAGAATACCTTTAAATTTACCTCCATGTCTGAATATTCAAACTTAGTGTTTTCTTTCTTGCAAGAATATCCCAATGGATGATGCTCTTTCAAGGTGATAAGACTAGAGCAAAGGTAATATTGCAATTTATTTTTTTTCATTGCAGTCAGCAGAAAAAAATGTGAATACAGTCAATCAACACAAACGTGTGCCCACAAAGATCCTAACAGAGTTTTCCATCAAGAATATTCCCTGCAAACTCTGGCTTTGTAAAGAAATCAGATTCTAAATTCAAACCTTTTGGAGAAAAAAGAAGCAATTTGGGACTCCGTTTTATTTATCCAGTTTAGAATCATATAATCAATCTGCTGTGTGTCCTTCCTATAGAAAAGCTCTGCTTTCCTACCGATATCTGAGCGGGACCTTCCCCGAGAGGCAGCTGCAGAGCCGGGCTCGTAGCTACATTTTCCATCTTGGTTTCCACGGAAACCCAGCAGTGTCACCCGGATCACCAGGTGATCCTCGAACAGAGCATCCGCACCTCGGAATTCTGAAAAACAAACCTGCAACCCTGCCCATTACACAGAGGAATAAGGAACTATTTTAACTATTTTTTTAAAAAAATAAAAGATGAATATACTTTTATTTGCTTCCTTGCATGTATTAATATGTATATGAAAAGACAAAAAAGAAAACACCCTGATACCCCCAAGAAAACACCCCATAAAGGCAGTACAAAAGTATAGCTTTTGCTACAAAATAGCTTTTGCACATGAACTGATTTGACTCATTATATTGTCTTTTTTAATTTTAATTCACCGTAAGTTTTGGAAACCACATGCATTAACCAAAAAAAAAAAAAAGTTTTGTTTAATATTTCCCTACGTGTGAGTCCTGCAGCCTTTAGTCAGCAAGAGCTCTCACCACGAGCAATTTGAATTTGGCTTCACCGTGGATCCCTGGACTTAAATCAAGATGAACCAAATGGCCTGAATCATCCCAAATGATTTCCTTGTGGCTTTGTTTGTCTGTCTGTCTGTCTGTTTTTTCACCTGACAGATTAGCAGATAGCTGATTACTGCAGGCTAGTTACAGGGTAATTTCAATATACTTTATCTACCTCATGGCATTTACAAATAGCCATTTATAAAGAGGTTAAAGCAAAAGGCCTGAGGAGGTAACGTGCCGGCCCTCCAAAGCCCATGGGATTTAGGTGGCTTGCTTAGGAATTTCTTTGCTTTTCTCAGCTTGCCTGCTTCTGTGGGTGCCTTTCTGGGCATGTATCTCACATGTATTAGGACTCCCAGCAGCGAGATTCCTTCCTCATGGCCACTCTCAGAGTGATTTAACACCAGAGCAGCGAGACGGGACAGTGTTTGCTGGGCTCTGAAGAGGTCTCGGTGCAGCTTTCCTGCCCTGAGCACGTCTCCACGCCGCCCCTCCTGCACACCTGAAGGTGGAAAGGGGCTCATCGACGGGAGAAAATGTTCCAGGCTTTTTCCAAGAGACCTGGGATCCAGACTCCTTCACTACTTTGGAGCCAGATCCTTCCCGTCTAACCATCTAACCCACTAACTCTTTCAATGCTCTCGTTCCAATGGGAACGGGTGTCTGCAGCTCTCGATGCTGCACGAGGGCAGCAAAACCCCAATTTCACACTTCCTTCCTAAACTAAAGCACATATTTCCAGGGCAGTGTATCAGGTGGGAAGGCAGGAAGCCTGCACCCGTGGAGGAGAGGGAAGCGCTGCCCAAGGAACGCGGAACCATACAGAAAGGAACATTTTGCAGCAGGGAAATGTTTAATTGCATTTGCAGTCAATACACCTTAAAGGCCAAAGTCATCCTACCCGAGGATACTGGGGTAGTCACAGCCCTTCCGTGTGCTCCTGATCTCCAGGTGTTTTCTCCTTACACAAGGAAGGGAAATACATATCTGAGGACTGGTGGGGAGCCTGGTGGTGTTCCATATTTGCTTCTCTCCACAGGGTGGAATGTCTGAGTTGCATTTGTAGCCAGGGACAGCAATGGAGAAGGAGACATTAACCACTGCTGTTGGTTATTTTGCTGGCAGGCTGCAGTTTTCCTGATCAAAGTGCAAGCTGGGATAGCTGTGCTTATCCCCTTCCTCCTTCGTCTTATAAACAGGAAGCATTAAACCATAAAGACTCAGCAAGGTTTTGCAGAGGCACTGGAAATCCTGTTTTTTAAACCTTTTTTTCTTATATCTTTTGCAACAATGTTCAGAAACCTGTTAATTAAAATATTAATTATTATTTAAAATATTTAGTATCAACTCTTTTCTATTAACCAAATATACAAAACACTTCTGGGAAGCTACATTTTTATTCCATTCCATAGCTTGCATTCACATACAAATACAATGAAGAGAAATTTTGCAACTCACAGCACATAGAAGGATATCTAGCACTGAGTAATTAGGTATGCAGCTAAAAATGGTCTGTCTTGGATTGCTTTCTCTTTTTTGTTTTCTTTTGTTTGTTTGTTTGTTAAGGTGCTTGCATTTTGTTTCTGTTAACCTTGTAGTTATAGTCAGCTTGTGAATACGGAAAACCAGGAAGCCGACAGACCAAGGAACGTGCTCTCCTTAAGTTGTCATGCTGTAAAATTGTTGCTATTTGTCGGTAAGAGTTTTGCTATTTATTCAGTAAGAATAGCGAGACCTTTCTGCCGTGGAAGGGGAAAGCTCTGGCTGGAACAGGGGCACTTTTCCAAAGTGAATCAGGAGCGAGGTGACCTCTGAGTGCCCACACTTCGTGCCAATAGAAATGAGCCGGTTTTCAGATGAAAGGACTAGAAATGGAACAATTTCTTTTTCCTTTTTCAGAATCTGACAGAGTTGCACAGTCTTTGGTTTTGGAGGATTTTTTTTCCCCTCCTTTTCAAGTATTTTATCAAAGAGATGACGAGATCAGTCTCTGATAGCTGGGAACAAGATGCAAACAAACCATGAGACTCCATCTATGCAGCAGTAACCATGACTGGTTTATAGCCACTATTTAAATATGAAAAACATAAATCATCCTTGAATAAGATTAGGATGGAAATTAAACATAATTCCTATTCACTATGAGTGAAAATTTCTGGAGCAGCCTCCCAAACTCAGCATTTAGGGCAAAAAAATAAGAGCAAGCCAAAAAAGAAGATTGTAGGAGCAGAAACTTTAACACAGGGACACACAAGATTGGTGGCATTTGGGTTAACTATGTAGAATACTGCACTCTGGTGGCTTGATACTTTCTATAAACCAGAATATCTAGATTTTTTAATCACATATTTGAGTAATAGTAACTGTAGTGATTATGTAAATTATAACCCAAAATAAAATAACCAAAAAAGCTATAGAAATATACGTCAGTACATGAGTTTCACAGCTAGCATTCTAAGAAAAATAAAAAATAAAAATAAGTTTCAAATTGTTATTTCTTTTGTTGAAATCCATGTTAAATTTTCTGGCATTAGTTTTTACATCTGACTAGAATTTATTAACAACTTTCACAGAACCGTAGCCTTGATCTCTTTATAACTGCACTTTGCACATGTGCTCCTTTTGCAGAAACGGTGTGCCCTGGTGTGTCCTACACTGCTGTGACAGGCTATTAAACAGGCTATTTGTTCACATACATTGATTTTGAATGCAGGTCATCTATGATTATTTAGTCAGCACCAGTCTAGCACCTTTGCTATCTATCACTTTTATGTTTTAAAATGGACAAAATGGCCCAAATCAGCTGGAAATGAAATACTAGAACACAAAGAGGTTATTCCTTTTAGTATTCCCTATATGAAATGAGAAGTCTCTTCAGGATGACGATCACATAAAGCACTGGGCCGAAGTGTGAATTTCGAAACGTACAGAGCCGCAGTGATGCACACTAGCAGCTTGCAGAAATTATTTTTACTGCTTTCAGACACGGTTTATTCAAAGGAAGGAGAAACGCAGTGCAGATCCCAGCTCCGCTCCTCGTGCAGAGTTTCCATTCAGCTCTAGCATCAGACCCTACTTACCCCTTCCCACTGTCAGCAGCGTTCACAGCTGCATCCGTGAAATGAGACGAGATCCTGAAGCTAGTGCTGATATGGTGAAGAAACTCTAAGAAAGGCCATCTTCTTTTAACGGATCCCTGAAAAAAACCTGCAGTGGTTTTGAACTAATTTTCAGTTAAAAAAAAGAAAGTGTGATGTTTATATTGCAAATCTCTGTCAAGTTAAGATTCTGATGAGAATTTTTCAACCAGTCTTTTTTGAGCAATCAGAACTCAGTTAAGCAATAAACAATAACATCAACATATCAGAAGGAATGTTCCCATCTGCAGATACAGTTGTTCCTCATATTCTACCTTTTCCATTGTTACAAAACTGATTAAACGCAGTCTGCAAATTCCTACAAAGTCTTTTCTTCTCACCTTGGATGTCTTGCCTGAATTTCCCTGATATTTTTTCTTTTCCTGATTTTTAATGAGACACAGTTGCCAATAGTTAGAGTTGGAGGCTGGAGCTTTTTGTGTAAATTCACAGTATTTGTGTATGCAGCTGCTCCTCAGCTGCCCCTGTGGAGACAGGGATGCTGGGGACAGGGCTGAATGCATCACTAGCGGTCCCCTCTGCTGCAAGGCAGAGAGCATCCTGTGACTGAGCAACTATTTCTTCCTCAGGACATTATAAATGCTATGAGAAATTCTGGAATTCTGTCACATAGGATTTTCTATTCTTACAGTGCCCCATTACTGCAGATTTTATCTGAGTCTTCTTGAACGGGAGCATTGCAAGTAGGTACTATAGACTGTCACTGTTCCAGGTCTCTAAGCGGAATCTAAACATGTAGTTTATTCCAAACATAATATTCCAGGAAACTTGGAACATTTGTGACAAACTTTTAAACTGAAGTTGGATCTGTTTTTAGTAACCTTTCCTAACAGTGCAGCATATTGTGCACCCATCAGCCCTTCCAAAGAGGGCACTGGTACAGTTGCATTTGCATGAAATCCCCAGACAACACAGTGAGTATCTGGGCCTCATTTCTGTTATAATTCCGTTATGATTCATTGAAATGAATAGGATTTCTTTTTTTCATTTTAGTACAGCTGTTCTGAGTAATTTTATATGCCAAACTTCAAGTATTAAACCTAGGGCAGTGTTTCCGTGATCCATGGTTAGGGGCAATTTAAACAAATTATTCCTTGCTAAGTTGAACTCAATAGCAACTAATTTTCCATTGCTTTAGATGCTTTCTGTAAAGATAAGCTGCTTCATTTTATTGTATTTTATAGTATCTCATTTTATTTTGATGCAATAGAGATAGGAATCAGAAAATTTCAAAGTAATATAATGATTGTAAATAGTTGTTATAAACATCATCTAGGCCACTCAATCACATTGCAAAATAATAATAATAATAATAATAATAATAATAATAATAAAGATCTTGAGCCTTCTAGCCTAACGATTTGGGATCTGAGTCTTTCTGTATTTTTGTACAAACTTCATGCTTGAATCCCATCACACAACTTGAAAAAGTCTTTGCACATCCTGAAAAGCATCTTGGCAACAGGCAACTTATGTGCCCATTGTGCTTTTACTCTTTTTTTTTTTTAGTTAAAAGAAATAATTATTATTATAAATTGGTTTTCTGTCATGCATTATGATGCTCCTTGCAGATATGAAACTATGTAGCTGAAGTATGTAAAATGGAACTTGAGAAATGGGCTTCCTTCATAATTAAGGCTACTAGTCCGGATAGGAAATACTTGCACAGTCACAGACATGAGGAGGAGCCACCAGCAGATCAGCCTTTGGCCTAGACCACAGTTACTCTATTCTGTCTCTTAAAACCACCAGCTCCGAACTCCACAAATTCCTATGTACCTTCCAGAGGTCATCTCTTCTGGATTTGAGTTTTCCACATCAGATAAATTGGTTCTCCCAGTTAAACACAAGGGTTTTCTTGTTTGTTTTTCTAAACTTGCTCCCTCCGATTCCATGATTTTGGGCAGCTCCTGTTGACGCCTTAACTGACTCTCCATCCATTGGGTCCTTCCTCCTCCTCCTCCTGGAGAGGCTCCATCCACCCTTGCAGCCTGCAGGGCTCTTGGCCTTTCTGAACCAGCCCAGAGCTGCTTTTGTCCGAATGAGCGTTAAGTTTGCTTGCCCCAAAGAAACCAGCACAGTTATCTTCGGCCTTTGCCATCTCAAGGAGTTTTTTTTTCCAAAATTGATTTTTTCCGAAAAATCAGTGCTGTGTCAGGTCACCCAGAAGGGCAGAATTGGGGATCAAAGGAGTCACTGAATATGAAATGTGGTCTCCCCTAGAAGATGCTCGAACCTTTCCTACTCCAGCTTTACATAAGTTGAGCCTCTTCCGCACCTTTGAAGGGAGATACAAACTGACTTTAAACATCACTTTGACCTTTTTCATGGGAAAATCTGTAATTATATCTCTTTTCAGTTGCATAGTGGGAGCTCAAATCAAATTCTCACAAAGGTCGCAGTTGTCTCTTGATGAAGGGACATGCAGAAAAATTACCTTCCCTCCCTCACAGTGGGTAAAAGTAACAGCAGGCATGATATGATAACGAAGGCTTATTTTATGTGGACTGCCCAAAGTGCTGTGCAGCATAATGAACTGCAACTTGTGGTTAATAAAACTGAGGACATAGGTCAAAGAATCCTACAAGGAAGAATAAAGCAGCTATCTTTTAACAAGCAGTAATTGTAACACTCAACAAAGTGGTCAGAATTGCCCAGTGTTACTTTAAGGTCAGAATTTTCAACCGTAGATCTAAATTCCTCCTTCCTAATCCATCCTACAGGCCACTGAGCCATATTAATTCCCAAAAGAAGGGATGTGGCCTGTTTAACCCTTTGATTAAGATGTATAGAGAGACCTCATTTAATGTCCATTGCAATCACTAGAAATATTCCCACTAACTTCGATCCATAGGTAACAGTGTTTGCAAATATGGTGAAATTTAAGTGATATCTGTGCAGAAAAATTTTACTGAATTCTCCAACAACATAAAGAAAAATATTGAATAGCCACTTGATCTATAGGGTGCAATAAATGAGTTACGTATTTCTGCATACAAGAGTTGCAAACACCAATACTTGTGTAAAATACATATAAGGAAAGAGATTTTGATAATTCTGATTTTTCAGAGATGATGTCAGTCCTGCCTATCCCATCTTTAGCAAAAGACTCCGTGCAACTGATAAGGTAGCCCCAAACTATTTTCAAAGAAATCTTTAAGTAACTTAGGGGAAAACAGAAGGGGAAGAACAAGGACTAAATCCAGCTGCATGCACAAACCTGGAGTGCTGCTGATGAAAAAGTTAATAACTTTCAGATGCAGAGAGGCATTTCTGAAGGAGTCAAGGAGCTGTGGACAGTTGCAGAAGAGCATCATACAAGTGTTGTCTACTCCACCCCACAGGGTACAAGAAAGAAACACTTCAGTAGATTTTTTAAAGTTGTAATTCAGAAAGCTGGTAACAGATTTAGCTTGGCTATGAGCAGAAGATATACAGAGGTATCTGTAGCATTTACACTGGTTATCCCCCTTTGGTGAAGTTGTTTTGACATTTCAAAACTTGCAAAAAACAGTCAGTTCTATCTCTTCTATTCACTCATGTTTTGCTCACTTGTTCCCAAACAGATTGATGAAAACTTAGGGCCGGACTGTTCTCAGTGGTGGCCAGTGAGTGGGTGCAAGTTGAAACCCAGGCAGTTCCATCTCCATGTGAGGAAGAACTTCTTTCCTGTGAGGGTGACAGAGCCCTGGAACAGGCTGCCCAGAGAGGCTGTGGAGTCTCCTTCCCTGGAGATCTTCAAACCCCACCTGGATGCCACCCTGTGCCACGTGCTCTGGGTGTCCCTGCTGGAGCAGGGGGTTGGACTAGATGATCTCTAGAGGTCCCTTCCAACCTCAACCATTCTGGGATTCTGTGAAGCTAAGAAATTAAAGCATACCCTTGATTTTCACCACAGGGTTTTATTTATCTGCCCATGCTACACCAATTCTCATATGTTTTTCTAACAAACCACAGAGAATCAAAAAAGAGGTTGTAACAAATGTTATTTACAGGCTGATGCTTGCTTCAGGTATTTGTTCAAATGATTCCCTGTTATAAACTTATTTGTAAGTTATTTGGTTAGAGAGGACCCCACACTGGATTAATTTGACGACAGAAGGAATAGATGTGAGGATGCTGCTTCCCTTTTGAATTAAGCCTGAGGCTCCCTTCATGTGTTTCTAATGTAATATGCAAATTGTCATCGATTTTTAATGTATTTTTAGGACTACCAGGAAGCTTCCGAGGTGGAGCCGTTTGTGACCCGCTTTCTCTGGAAGGAAGCGCAGAACCAGCTTCAGTCTCTGCAGAGCTCTCCGGGGCGCGGGATGGAGACCCCGGAGGAGCAGGAGACGTGAGGGCCTCTGCACCACCCTGTGCAGGGGAGCACCCAGGGCTGCTGCTGGGAACGGGAGCGCTGTGCTTGGAGCAGACGCTCCCGAGCAGCCGTCCTTGGGCACGGCGCATGAGCCTCAATGAGGCTAAAGGGTCCTCACGCTGGGGAAGTGCCAGAATTTGGCTTACTGTTACAGGAGTTCATCTTGCTCCTAAGCTGCGGGAAATAACATCCTGAAATATTCCTCAAGATATTTGGTGAGGTTTTGAGGAGCTTTGGCTTCATTCTGTGCTTCAGGAGACAGGACAGCCTCCCAAAGCTGTGATCTGCAAGTTATTTACTGAGCTCTTTAGACTACTACTTAGTACACTTTGCAACTAATAGTTCAACCAAATATTCAAAATGTAGTCCTGGTCCTCACTATTCCTCGCTTGAATCATGAAGAAGAAACCACTAGAGGCAGCTCCAGTGCACATACAAACTCTGCAGTATCAGTGATTCTGCCATCATAGCATAAAAGTAATTTCTTAATCTGTTATGTTTCAGTATTGGTCCAAGAAAAGCATTTATCATCTATCCAGAATTAATTAATTCTCACCATTGTTGCTTCCTTATTAACAGATACATGTTGTTGTTTATCTTTTTTATCTTTAAGATGAAGGCCTAAGTATATATATATATATATATATGTAGTATATGATTTTCTCAATAACAAGTTCAGGTTTGAAGCCCTGATTGTTAGTTGCTTGTGTGATCCCAGTTCTACCACAGAGATGGTACAAAACCATGAACCATGCAAAGCAGCTGGTGCATGATGGCTTGGGTCAGGTCAAAATCACATCACTGACATACCTCTAGCTTTGTTGCTCTAAAAGACAGGCATAAGTTAACAACTTAATTCTCTTCGCCCCTCCTTTAATGACTAGCAACCTAGGTGTATCTAATTAATAATAGTGAAGATCTAGATAATAATTTGAGAGTCTCAAAAGGCACTTCTCCTAATTCAGGGAGGAACAAGCTAACGTATTTTGTGAAAACAGAAAGAAGAGAGCAGCTCGCTCACATTTATTATGTTCTGAATGTCCTCCGTCTCAATAGACAAGGCTTAACAAAACCAGAAGTGCTCTTGGTTCAATGGTCGGGAAAACGTTCAGCTCGAAGGCTTCTAAGAAACAACAGCCTATCGTCAAACAGCCCTCATTTTGACACAGGTATGGTACTCACATGTCAGGTGTGCTTAAAACATACATGCACAAATATACACAAATACATCACCACAGCAAGAGCCCATTTCTTGACCTGTCGTGCAGACCTCACCGTTGGCAGCTTGTCTCCTCCTTTTTAATCCTCTTTCAGAGACCTTTCTGTCACACACTCTCATGCTCACTTTCTGCCACTCAGTGAGGTGATGCCCTTCATTCAGTGTAACTCCACGTGCTGATGTTTGGCTGCTGGCTGCTGCTGTTCGAAGCATTCGTGTCTGTAAGGAGGAAGGTCTCCTGGTGTTGTTACTCAATTCCTAATCACAGAGCACAGAGGCACCCAAACCTCTCCAGACCATGGCCAGCTACTGCGTTATCTTAATGACCAAACAGCTTTCTCAAAAGCTAATGGACTTGGCTAGATAAACCTCTTTCATCTCTTGATTTGCTTAAATTTTGTCTTCCTGTTTGCTGTCCATAGGCACAATTACACCATAGGTGTGCATACCTGTCCTGCACGGCTTTAGTCCTCTGACCTGCTGCAGTGAAGCCATTCTCTGCCTCCCCTACGAATCACCTCTGTGGCATGCCCTTACCATTAGGATTTGCTTGATAGAAATATATTCCAAATGTCACAAGAGATCTGTGTTGAAAAATGAGCGGGTCATGAAGATTTGTATCGAGAACGCACACTGAAAAATCTTTTGGAAAAATGACTTTTGAGCAATCTGTTCAAACACATCTGCTGATGAACACATCTGCTTTCCAGAGCATTACCCTTTCCATGTGCAAGGCTCGGGTATGGCAGACCAGCAAATTTTCTAGAGGCTTTAGGGAGCCTCAGAGATACTTGTGGCTTCATAGAACTATGTTGACTAGCTTCATCTTTGCTATTATGATAGCAGGTATCACTACAGGACAGCTGAAAAGTCTTCTAAAATGGTCATATCAGGAGCTGCTGACTTCTGTGACTTGGGAAAAAACTAACCTAGGAACCCTAGTATGATGAAATGAAATCACTTTTAAGCTGTTCAAAAATGCAGTCACCACAGGCAAAAACTGCAAATCTCAAAAGCAAAACTGTAGTGTAAGAAGCATCTACCCTAATGGTCACATTTCTCCAACTCACCAAACCTAATTAAATAGCATGTAGGAGCACTGCTTGGCAGGAGAGGTAAAGAAGGATCATTGGCTGAAGAAAACACCCAGTTAGTGCTAGCAAATCAACTAGAGAGGCCACTGCAAGATTATGGGCTTAATTAGTGTGAGAACAAGAAAAACCTGTAAGATGCCATGTTGCAGGTGAGCGTTAACAGAGCTGAAAAGCTCTCAGAAAGTAAGTGGAGAGAGGAAAAAAAAAGTTAGTGTAACTAAATGAACCTTGTTGGAAATAACAGAAAGCCCCATATTCTTAATACAGAGGAGAGAGACACTGAGAGAAGCTCCTTCAGGAATTACAGATCCCTCAACATACCATGCCAAAAACCTAGATCGCTGAGCACAGGTACACCTGATTAAGTCTTTTTCTGCTACCCATGACGATGCTTCTTATTGGGAAGGAACAGGCACATTGCTGACCTCCGAATAGGCTGGGAATGACGCTGGGAACAGCACCGTGTTGGGGCACTGAGAGCACAAACAGGATCATCGCTGGCTTCACAGCAACCGTGTTGGGGTCAGGGTCCTAACAGGGCTCTGCTAGTGTAAGAAAGATCCGCTGGCCTAAGCTGCACCGGCCGGGCTGGGGTGATTAAAGCCAGGCCTGAGTGCACTTCTTTCACTGTTCCTTCAGTGCTCTCAGGGAAAGGCCTTATTACATGATCCATTCATGCGATATATTTGGAAGGAATCAGAGACAGGTTTGTTATGGAACAGGAAAACTTCTTTGTTTCCCATTTCTTCATCTTGTTTAAATAACCAGAATAACATTTCAACTCCATTTCTAAATCATCAGCACCATAAAGACTGGTCCAAACAGAGCTGTCTCTCTGAGAAATCTCGAGTCCTGTTTCCTCCCTCCCAACTCTCACTTTATCTTTATCCTCACAAAGTAGCAGAAATACCAGCAAAGCTTTAACTCCCTAAAAAGCCGATTTTGCATTTTGAGTGGAATGTGCTCAGGTTACAAGTTGGTTCCATCTGCAGAGAAGATCACTCCTTTCTCCAGCTACCACAGCAAGTTCAAAATCATTAGAGTTAGTACAGAATGGAATTTTGTGCTGGGCTCACATTCTGTCTTGGATTTCCACTAGTCTTGAGAAGGAAAATCATTGTTACAATTCAAATGCTTTTCACCAGTTATACCTAAATGAACACAGAATTATACCACAATCTTCTGTTGAGAAACAAAATTAATTGCAAGCCGAATTAAACTTCTGTTCCACAATAGATGAATATACTATATGCACACACTTAGTAACCTTATATCCTTCATTAGTTATATTTTCCAAAGGTTGGACTGAGGAAGACAATCAGTGAATAATCCAGATAAACAGACTTCAAAAGCTGATTGACAGATTGGAAAGGAAGGTATGCATTTCATCTGTCTTTTCTCTCTTTTTCAGTAGTTTTCTGAAGCAAGCCTTAAACCACAAATGCCCATCAATGTCCTCGTCACACTGTCTCTTTCTAGCGAGTAACGTCTGAAACTTCCACCTCCGCTAAGTGAGCTCATGAAATGCCAGCATTTTCCTTTCACCTTGCTTATTCCTGTTTCATGAGAGCAATATCCAACCAATCGTTACAGAGCTGTGTTTTGCAGTTGACAGACAAATGAGTATATTTAATGTTGCACATGCACATATATGCTGTATACACACAAAGCACACTCCTCGCACATATTGATAGCTAAAAAACATTGCCATGGGACTCTGAAGGTTGCTGTACAAAACGGCTAAGATCTGTACATTTCAGGCTTTGTGGAAAGCTCTGGGTAACATTCCTCTATTCATTTTTTCTTTTTATACTTTAAAAGATGTGAGCATTTAAAAAATGCTCACAGCCTGACCCTACTGCTCCTCTCCAGGTGATCCAGGTGGTAGACGTTCCTTAGCAAAACACAGACACCCTCTCTGTCTAGACGGACAAAAACGCCGCTCTCAGAGATCCCTCAAATATTAGCATGGATTTTAAGTCCATTTAATGTTCACACCTGGGTCCAGGCCCCTTAACCCAGCCATCTATCGAGACCTCAGGTCTTAGCAGATGTGGATCTCCTCCTACTCACCTGCTAGTCCAACTTGAAGTTCACTAACAAATTATACATACATGCACTCATGGAAAACACTTATGCAATGGGATTTAATAGGTAGGTACATTAATTAGTGGTGATCAGGCACAGGACTCAGTTAGACAAACTGGCCTCTCTCATATTCCCTCCTCTCCCTTTCCCTTGCTTGTCCTTCCCATGCCCACCTTGCCTCTCCATTTCTCTGTCATTTTCCCCTCCCAAATACACAAGCTCTCCCTTATTACCCCCTTAAACCTGAATTTTGCTGCAGCTGTACCAAAATTGGCTATTCCTGCTACCTAGGCCAGCCCAGCCTTGGGTGGTGCTGCCGATACCTGGGATACTGGTGGGCTCACACCGTTCACACAGGTCCTCACTATTCCCTTCACTTACCTGGGAAATCTGATGGTCCCTCGCCTAATTTGCCTTTAACCACCTGTGAAATTCTGCCATTCCTCACGAAATGGGCTAGATTAGCTATAAATTAGATTTTGAAAGTTAAGTTCTTTGTGAAATTTAAACATCGTTTTGGTCCAGCTTTACTTCCAACCCTGCTTTAGAAACAGCAGCTTGCTGGCCTGCCACAGAAACCTCCTGACCTGCCAAAAGGAGTTTAAGGAAGTTTTAAATTTCAAAGAATTTTACTGAAAAAATGAAACTTGGCTGTTTTCTGTAACATGTCTATTGCATTATTGCTATGTACCATCTCTTCTACGTGAGAAATTAGTTACTACAGATTTTGTCCTCCTTCCTGAATTTCCGCCGCAAATTCTGCAGGAGGTACAGCCACAAGCAGTTTGTGTGAATATTATTTCATTGCTGACTGCCCTGCCGTGAGCTGTTGGGTTTTCCACACTCATCTGAATTTTAGCTGAATGCCTCTTACCATCTTTTCAGTGAATACAGTATTTGTGCTGGCAAAGTGCCTGCTGCCTGAGGTTCATCGACCTTTACCCAACTAGATATAGAATAACCTATTTAGATTTTTGACACAGGAACTGTTTTTAATAAGCGAAGCACCACTAACAAATAGTGGATTTTGCTCTGCCTGCTTATTGCAACTAATTCTGTTTATTTTTCCAGGTATTAAAATATCTATATATCCCAGAGATCTACTATGTAAGTTATAGTGTGTGCTTTGCTGGATGGTGTTTGCATAAGTAACTGAATCATGAAGCACATATGTAGCTTTTATAAAAAGAAAGCACTATTTCCTTACAAATGTACCTGCTCGTTGCTACCTAGTCTGTCTTCAGAAGCAAGAGCAGCAGAGGGCTGTAGAAACCTCCCTTGAATCCTTTGCCTGCTATTTTACAATCCTGGAAAACCGCCACATGTGACTGGAAAAGTCTTTTGTATAAAGTTTTCATTTTGACTTAAGGGTATCTAATGTTCAGTTTGTTCCAAACTGCCGTGCTCAAGTGGGCAGCTGCCTTTTCTGTAGGAAGTCCAACATATGCTTGAGGGAAAACAGAGTGGTTACAAATGAGAAAATACCCTTCTCGACTAAAGTTACTTGATTTGAAAAGGCAAAATGCAAGATCTGTAAGGTTTTTTTTTTTTTTCTTCAAGATAATGACCTTTGACATATGATTTTCAATCCTAGGCATTGAGCCAATCTCACCTGATCTCAGCTTGTTTAAAACAAAACAAAAAACATTTTTGTCATTTTTCTAAGTGACAATCCATTTCAGTCAGCAAAGTACACTGTACAAGAATCAATAAAGCAAAACCTGTACAACTTGGGCATCACTTTTATAATAATTTTTGCATTGTTTTCAAGGCTGCAGTGTGCCAAAAACACAGCTCACAAAAGGAGGAAAATAATTATAATTAATGATAATTAATAAGATTTGCCAACGTTTGCAGCAATATTTATGGGGTTGTAACCTCTCTACTCCTTTAAAATCACTTAAAGCCGCACACATGCTTTAGATCAGGATTGTTAAATCAAGGTTAAAATCAAGTTGTTAAATCAGCCTCCCTTCTTCAAAGTGATACAAGAAACCTTAAGATGAGAGAAAATCTAGTGTTAAGAGACAATGACTCTAATTCAAAATCATATCTAGAAATAAACTTAAAATTGTGTCAACATCTCAAGCTTCAACTATATTTTTCAAATGCCCTAGTATTCCTAAATTTGATTAAGTAGACTTTGAACCTAACAACAAAAAGAAAGATCAAATACATACAGAAAAAAATACCCCAAAAGATGTTTATCAAATTGCTAGAGAATTACATCTGACTTTTTTTTTTTAATGAGATTAACCTTTATGAGAGGGTGTCAACCTGCACTGCAGATGCAACTGTTTTGGTTAGGTGTCTCCTTAAATATTTAATCAGGAAAATTGGCACGCTTCAATGGATGAGTCAATAAGCAAGCTAGTCAAAGGGATGAACCTGAGAGAGAAGCAGAGTATCTAAGATAAACAGGCTTCTCTAATACAGAGTGCTCCTATAGTTATTACTGTTCATCAGGTTTATTTATTTATTTTATATTTTTGGAGCAAAAGCTCCTATTCATTATCTGAGATGGGCTGCCTTAGACATCTGGGTCAGGCATGAGTCAGACCTCTGAAAGGTGAAAAAACTGCATTTCCTCACCGGGCAGAAAAGGAGATAAGAGCACCTCAATGAAATGCCACACTGCATCCAATTCAAATCTTGTGAATGTTTTCTTATCTCAGACCTCACTCTCACCTGCGTACACATTAACCCACGGAAACACGTTGACTTTATCATTAAGTATTTCAAAATAATGCTTGCTTTGCACTTTTCCATAAAGGTCTCTCATCCAGAGTTGGGACAGCTCTCCTCTTTTTCCTGAAGTGGACACTCATTTGGGACATTTTCCTTTTTAGAATTTCATCCTGTATAAAAGTCTCATCCATAAGCTACTCTAACTCACCACTTCAGAGCACCAAAACAGGCGCTGCAAACTTTTAAGGGAAACTGTGTTTTTTTTTCCTTCACTGATTCCTTTTTTTTAAATCATTGTATGACAGATTTTCTTACCTTTAAGTACCAGGAATTCATAGCACCATATGGCAATAATACTGCCATTTTTATCAGCACATGGTGATTGTTCCACACCAAACGCCTGGGCTGGCAGGAGAAGCGGAGGCGCCCGGCTCGCTCTGCAGCAGAACGTGGAAGGCGCTCGTGCTCAGCGTGGCTGCTTGCAGTAAGCAGAGTTATTACCTGGGCCAAAGAGAGAGGAATGTGGTAGACTCCCTTGGACCACCTCTGATTTGCAGTGGGCTGTTTATGAAGAGAGAATCTGCAATATCCTCTTTTCTGGGTGGATTATGCATAGGTATTAAGGTAACACAACTAAAGCAACAAAGAGATGCAACAAAGAAGTATATGCAAGTACTCTCTCAGGAATATGACTAAAATGTTGTGAACTAAAAAATTGGGAAAAAAATACCCGGCATATTGCAAAGGTATATTGGAAAGCATATTCCAAGGCTTCTCAGCTGTGGAGGCCACCAGTTCAGAGCTTGCTGAGGCCCTCAGGCTGGCAGGGGAACCTCCTTTGCCAGCCTCTAGCCGTGTCACCCTCGTGAGAGGGCAACTCGTTAGCTTGGCTGCCAGCTCTCTGCTTGGAGGTTCTCAAAATCATCCATTTGGTTTATTCCAAGCATGGAATCTTCTCGTACCTTTGAAGCCTACCTGTTCCTGTCTTATCGGGAGATTTTATACTTCCAAGGATAAGAAAGCTAAGCAGGAAAGGAGAAGAGTGACTGTTCCCTTGTTCACTTGTAATGGTGGGCTTACTAGGAAAACAAAATCCTCACACGAGCCAAGAAATGGCAAAGGCAGCGAGAAGGGCCCCCCCTCCTGAAAGTCCCCATCTGTCAGAGTGCAAACCTGAGCCTACGCTGCTGCAGAATGCAGCTCAAGGAAAAGATGACAAAAATTGCTTTTTTTTTTCCCTCGAGTTTGCAAACATTTGGTGTGTCAGTGGTGCCACCTACGGACTGCTTCTGAGCTTATCCATGTTTCAGTGCTGCTGCATTTACAGCTCTTGATCACTGTGAGTATTTTGCAATGCACTTTCTCACCCAGCAGGAGATCGTAACATGGAAAGAAATCACATGATTCATTACCGTTATATTTCATGCTGAAACAAAATAATCTGAGACCAGTTTTCAAGCATATCAGCTGTAAGATCAGCAATCTCCTGCTTGGGCACTCAGAAATAGAGGCCTCTGCTTTTTGTGCTATAAAGCCAATCCCCAACTCGGGCAGGCAGATGCAGAAGCTCCTCAGCACATCAGCTCTCTAGCAGATAATGA